GCCCACCACCACCCCTTTGCGGACATATATATCTGCATGTGTGCACCGCTTCCTGGTTCGTGTTGGGGCGTTTTTGCGACCGTCGTTGGCCATGCCGCGTCTTGTGACGGACGCGTTCCACCACACAGAGTCTTCGACCTCTTGCTGGAGCTTACACGCAGCTATTATTTATTTATTTATTGTTCGGAAGGCCCGGCAGACAAGAGTGACAGCAATGCGCCCGTCCCTACTTGCTACGGTGCCCCTGTTGTTATTGCTGCTGCTGTGCTGCACCACGGGCCGCCTCACCGCCGCCAGGCACCGATGCATGTTCAATGAGATAATGGCGAGGAGCGACTCACGCCCAGCCAAGATGGTGCTGAAGTTACCCCCGAAAGGGCCAGAGTACCTGGCGAGCGTACACCGTCTCCACAGGAGCGGAGGGGACGGGGAAGTGGGAACCCATCCGCATCGTGGTGTTCAAGCTGGACCTGGATGACCCAAGCAAGTACTAGACTCAAGAAGGAGAGCAGCGTCCGACGTTTCAGGGCTACGCTGGCGAGTGCCGGGACGACGACGTCCTTACCAGTCGGAAAAAGGCTGAGCTGCCCCAAACTGTCCTCCCAACAGTCTTCACGCGCTCCACGAGGCGGCGTTCCGAGTGCAGCGTGTGAAGACTCCGTTGGTTGTGCCCGAATACATCCGTCAGACGCAGTGCAGGCATTTCATCGTGCCTACGGAACACCACACGAAAGGAGTTCCGGGCGCAGACACAGTTGCTCTATTTGGCTGCTGGGCCGTCTGCAATCTTCGCCGTTCTATGCGTCACGGTCAACAAGAACGACCGTCGGCGCCATGAATTTTAATCTCTCTGGCGGGTTCCACCCGTGGTTCGCTGTCCGCGTCGCTGCACACGAACTCGTGCATGTGCTTGGGTTCGGCTACCAACAGATGGAGGTGAAGAGTGTGGTGCGCGCTCTCACCACTGGGGGGCTATGCGGCAAAGTTGGGGACGGTGATCTCCACGCTCACAAAGAAGAAGGCGCAGGAGCACTTAAACGGCAGCAGCCTTGAGGGCATGCCCCTGAGGGATGAATACGACGGTGTATCACGGCTACACTCACACTGGGATCGGTGGCACGCGAGGGACAAACTGATTGGCCCCACGGTTGCTACTGGTGCCGGCTTCTACACCGCGCTGACGATGGCTGCGCTTGAGGATATGGGCTTTTACAAGGCGAACTTCAGCATGGCGGAGCCAATGCGCTGGCGCAAAAACGCAGGATGCGAGTTCGTCAATGAAAATCAGTGCGGGCCGGACGACCACACCAAGTTTCCCGCAATGCTCTGCTAGAATAACTACAGTGACACCGTGTCGTACCGCACAGGCGACCGCGTTGGCTTGGGCCAATGCAGTTCTTCGTGGAACGACGAGTGCCTTTTCATTTGCTCGTCACCTTTTGGCTCATGCCGCAATGAGGAAAGCACAGCCCTGCACGGGAGCCGCCTGGACGCAGGCTCATGGTGTCTCGACGGGGAGTTGCTCAAGGTGAACGTGGAGACGTATGGCCCGGAGCCCAGGGTGGTTATCCTGTGGCCGCCGTCTGTGCGGAGGTGGCGTGTGCCAGGGGTTCGGTCAGGGTCCGTTACCTCGGCGACAGTGACTGGTACAACTGCCCTGAGGGCAGCTCTCTCTCACCTGCGGGCACTTCCGTTGACTTTGCGAGCGGCAAGATCAAGTGCCCCAACTAGGACGAAGTGTGCACCATCATTCCCGCCGGCAGGAGTCGTGTCACGCGCCACCCCAGCGACGATGACGAGTTGGGCACTGGGGACGATTACCCCTCACATGGACTGCACCGTGAGTCCCGACGTCGGCAAGGGCCTCGTGAACGCAGGCGCCCCGAGCTGACGCCCGAAGGAACTGAGCCGAAGACGAAGTGAGAAAGAAAAGGACCAACGAGGGTGGAGAGAAAAAAGTGAGCGCTAACGTGCCATTGCCTGGGGAGCACACGGGGATGGTGCTGCCGCCACTGATCTTCGCTCCTGTGCAGTGTTGTTACTTGCGGTGGCTGCAGGCATTGCGGCCCTGATGTCTCGCTAGGAAGCTTCCACGAGCACGGCGTGCACGAGGGTTTCGACGTGTCTCATGCGTTACAAAAGTCGAAGCCTTTGCTTTGTGCAGCATACACTTTGAGGGCGGAGAAGGGCGTGCACTTTTTTTTTTTTCAGGTGATGGACCCACCGCACGGGCGTCGCCTCATTCCCCGCTCGCGCGTCGTTGTTGGCAGTTGCAGTTAATACCTTGTGGATCAGCCGTGTTTTTTGTTTTAATATGTGTTTTTTTTCCTTGGGGGGGGGGAGGTTCTGTTCTTGTTTGTTGCTTGGTGAGGATTGGCGGCGGCACGGCAGAAGGGGTTCCTCTGCGGGGAAAAACGTGAATGGGGGGCGCGCCTCAGTTGGGTCCATCTCTTTGCTTTTTGTGTGTGTTTTGCTTCGGGGGGCGTGGGCATATAACGAGGGGATGCGTCCCCTGTGCGTGTGCGCCGCGGCCCTCCGCCCAATAAAAAGGGGAAATATATATTTGCGTGTGTGTGTGGAGGACGGGACGATTGCGCGGAACTGGAGGTGCGAAAGCCGTCGTCGTTTTGGCTCGCGGTCTCTTTTTTATAGTTCCCCTTCTGAAATTTTCATTTTTGCAACTGCACCCACCCTTCCCTTTTCCTTCTTCTGCTGCGGACAAGCTCTGTGCTACTAATACGGTTATTTGAAACAATCCAACACAAACACACACTCTCACCTCACGCCATGCACCGTCAACTTCACACCACGCCGTTTCTCTCACTGGCGGTGTCCCTACTGCTGTTAATGTACGGCGCCGGTGGGTGCCTCGCCGCCGCGCACCCCCGTGCCTTCGACGAGGTGTTGTGGGAGAGCGGCCGGCCGCCGACCGCGATGGTGCGTGAGCTGCCGCGCAAGGGGCAGGGTGCGACGCAGGCGTACACCGTCGCCACAAAGGCTGAGGACAACAGTGGCTGGGCTCCCATCCGCATCGCGGTGTCCACGGAGGATTTGAAGGACATCAATAAGTACTGCACCAAAGAAGGTGAAACAAAGCCGGACTTCAGGGGACAGAATTCATCGTGCAAGAAGGATGAGGTTTTGACCTCGGAGATGATAAAAACCCTGGTGGATGAGATTATTCCTGTGGCCGTCGGACTGCACGCGGAGCGTTTGCTCGTTCAGCGCGTGAAGACTCCGTTTGTTGTGCTCCCGTTCACAGAGAAGCAGGGGAACTGCCAATACTTCAAGGTCCCCGACGCGCATCAGAAGACGGGAGTGACGGACGCGGACTTGGTGCTCTATGTGGCTTCCAGGTCGAATTACGGGATGTGGGCTATCCCGTGTATGTTCGGGAAGGACGGTCGTCCGATTGCCGGTGCCCTGCATATTGTGCCTTTTCATGCGCTTCCCGTCATGCACTCTTCTCGCATCACTGCGCATACGATCGCCCATGCTCTTGGCTTCAGCATGGAAGAGATGAAGAAGCACGACATGCTGTTGAAAGTGACTGATATGCGCGGCGGCACCTCTCCCGTGACGGTGGTGAAGTCACCTGTGACTTTGAGAAAGGCGAAGCTGCACTACGGCTGCGACACCATCCCGGGCATGGAGCTGAACAATAATGATGGGGCATACTTTTGGTCGCTGCGCAATGCGAAGGACGAGTTGATGAGCCTGATTGGGGAAAGAGCCGCCGGCTACTACACTGCGCTGACGATGGCGGCGTTTGAGGACCTCGGCTACTACAAGGCCGTGTGGGGGATGGAGGAGCCGATGGCGTGGGGCAGAAACTCCGGCTGTAACTTCCTGGATAAGCCGTGCTCGGAGAAAACTCCCACCACGTACCCTGGCGTGTTCTGCGATAAAAAAGATGCGAAGTCGCTTCGCTGCACGTCCAACCGTCAAGCCATCGGGACATGTTCTGCCGATGTTTCTCAAGCCAGGAGTGGCGAAAAGGAAACCTGCAGTTTTATTTCCCCGGCTAGTGGTGAACCACACAAATCGTTTTGCACAGTGGAAGGGGACGGCACTCTACCAGGGTCCCTCCGTGGAAAGGGCTCGTGGTGCCTCGATGCAGAACCACCCACGGCCAAGAGTGACGATACCTCCATTGATAACTCCGCCGTCCACGCGGTGTGTGCGGTGGTGCAGTGCGAGGGGGGCAAGGTGAAAGTGAAATACCTCGGCGGGAGTGATTTTGAGCCGTGCCCGGAGGGGAAGTCTATCACGCCCAAATCAGAGCACTTCAAGGGCGGCAGAAAGATCAGGTGCCCAAGGTACGAGGAGGTGTGCACCATCGCCGCCGATGGCAGAAGCCTCATTAACCCAAAGAAAGGCGGTCACGATGGCTGTGCGGCTGTTTTTGTTCTCTACAGTCTTCTTCTCGCCGCGATCGCTGCCGTGGTGGCGGCGACGGTGCCGCTTTGAGCAGCAGCCGCAACGAGCACTTCCCGCGGCGGCAGGGCAATGATGCCGCGACGCTTTTCACAGAGCAGGCGTCTGCGGCGCGTAGAAATGCAAGATGATTGCTCTGCAACCGCCCTATCTCCACCACCCCTGGCCCCTCGTCGGAAAGTGGTTAAAACATGCGTCCCCCGTTGAGTGGCGCCGCAGGTGGTGAGGAGGAGAATCGTGCGGCGTTTGTTGGGTGCGGGCAAAAAAAAAATAATAAAGAATGATGGGGTCTGTTGTTTCTTATTCTTCTTTTTTGTTTGAAATATAATTCTATAACGGCGCTTATTTGTTTTTATACGCTTCCCCCTGGGAACAAAACGACAGCAAAACTGGGAAGTGCGTATATATATATATATAGTTTTCCCTGTTTTTGGCCACGTCTCAGACGGCGCGCCGTGGAGGAGGAGAGGGGCCGCACACTTTTGGTAGTGCACTGAGCTACCCCCCCCCCCCCTTTTTTTTTGTATTGGCTGTGCGCAGTGGGTCTGCATTTATCTTAACTTTCAGCGGACCAGGCGCTACAGCGGATGATAAACCTTTTTTTGTAGAGACGCGTGGACCAAACGGGCCACGCGATGGAGACGTGAAAGATTTGTTTTTGAGCTTTTGTTTTTGTTTTTGTTTTTGTTTTTGTTTTTGAGCTTTTTTTTTGTTTGGCTAACTGTATGTTGTTGTGAGGCCGCCCCGTGTTTGAGGAGAGCGAGTGCAGTATTTTTAAATTGTTTTTCTTTTCATTCCAGCCCCGGCCCCCACCACTCACACACGCAGGGGGCGCGGCGGTTGTGGCGCCCTGAACAAACTGCCACTCTTCGAGGCTCCCGCGGTCCCGGCAATCGAAAGATGTTTTTCTTAGTGCGTTTTTTTTTTTTTACGAGTGCGCGTGTGGCGGGCGGCCCCTGCGGTGCGTAGGGGCGCTGGGCGTGCGCAAGACTAGAAGCTGCGAGCTCCTTTTTTTTTTTTTTTTTTTTTGTTTTTTTTTTTTTTTTTTAGTTTCTTCGGGAGAAGGGGGAGGGATTCTCCTAGGCAGCACATTTGCCGTTCTTCTTCTTAGTGGCCGTTTGCCGGGGAGAGAGGGGGACACGGAGTACAAGTGCGGAGGGCCCACGGCTGCCGATGCGGGACTCCCGGCTGGCGCTTAAGCACCCTTCTCGCGCGGCCCTGTTTTGCCGCCCTGCGTTCGCGGCGCCGGTTGTGGGCGACGGCGGCAGAGAAGCGGCGCGGGGGACGAGGGGGGAAGCGCTCCCTGCGGGGACCGAGCCCCCAAGCACACGGTTAAGAGCCGTGTGATTTACCGACTGGGCCGCGGAGGGCATTCCGGCACCGGCCTTTGCGCGCCACCGCGCCCCACTCAGCTGTGCTGAATCTCGCTGGCGACACACATGCGTGAGGGAACCCCAGCTTTTCGGGCCCCTTCCGCGTGTGCCAGTCTCAGCCGCAACGGCTGCGCCGCCAGAAGTGACAGCAGCCATGGCGCATCGTATCGGCTCCGCGTGCCACTATGAAATCCAGCTTGTTTTGCCGCGTCGCGATGAGAGTGGCGAGGCGCCGCGGCGAACCAAAAATGCGCCAGCGGTTGCTTCTTGTCAGGGCGTTCTCGTGCTTGAGCATGCGTGTCTTGCTGGAGGTCTTGCTTGTGCCCGCCGAGCTTTACTTCATGCCGAGGGGCAGCGCGGTTTGGTACCAGTATGATATGGCTGAGCGCCAACAGGAGGAGATTCTTCTGAGGACTCCATTGGCGGGGGGCAGAGTTTCACGCGTTCGTTCTGCGGGCGCTTTCTTCAGCGGCAGAGGGGGCCCCCGCAAACGTTTAGGGCCGACTTTGGCGCCGCGTCTTTGACTGATGCTTCAGAGCGCGCTATTTCGCTGCATGCGCAGTACGGCTTTACGCAGCTTCTGGACTTCGTTCGCTAGAAGGAGATGGTGCGATGCCACGGGCCCTCCCCCTTTTCCGTCGCCGCCCGCACCCTCTTTTCTGGCGTGCTGGAAAGCGCTACCACTGGCTTTCCACAGGCGTCGGGAAAAAACTTTTGGTGAGACACCTTGTTGGGTCGCAGGAGGGTGGAAGGAGACTGCTGCCAAGGGCAGGGTTCGTGCACCAGGAGGAGGCGACCTGCCTGGTGGGCGGTGCGACGGCGGGCCAGGCGAACTGCGCTTTGAGGACCTGCGGTGGTTTATTTGACCCAACCGCCTCGCGGTCGGTCTCTGTTGCGGCCTGCGCCGCAAAGCCACCCCTGCGGAGGCGGCGGGTGCGATGCTGGGGGGGAGGTCGAGGGCACCCTTGGGCTGCGGTCCGTCGTGGTGTGCGTTATCCTGCGCCCCGCCGAGCCCGCGACGCGTGAGGCGAGCGCGTCCGCAGCGCCGCCAGCATCGCGCGGCTGCTTAATGGCGGTGTGGGTGGGGTGTTCTGGCCCTTGGTTGCGGGGGTTGCACGTCTTGCTCAGGCAAGGGCCGGGTCGCCGCCCCACCCGAGCGGGCGGCTTCGGCTTGTCAGCGTTTCGGCACTGCGGTATTGCTCGCCCCTGTCGAGGCGGCAGTGTGTCCATTCCCACCTGCGGGGGGCTGTGGATGGCGGTAGGAATGGAGCTGGCGGTGTTTCCGGCGTGGGGTTGGAGAAGCTGCCCTGCGCAGGGGCCGAGGCGACTGCAGTGGGTTGGGGTCGCGATACTCCACCTGGATCCCGCGGTGAGATCAGTGCGCGACGGCGCAGTGTGAGGGGCTTCCAGGTGGCCAACGCCGGCGGCTGCACAGGATTGGTCGGCGGACGCTGCGGCTCGGCGCCCAACACCATTGCCGTGTCACTCCCAATT